AGGGATGAAGGAAAGGAAGAGTTTACCCAGAACCACACCTTCATACCGTTTATTAGGGAAGGAGAAGGAACCAAACAGCATACTAGTTCTGTTAGGAAATCTTCGGACGGTCTATTGAGAAGAGGTAGACAAGAGTTGGCAGGGGGCTTGGACTCTCGACTAACCTTCCCAACTGCCATTTGCGAAACCACCTTTCGCCCAGACGTGGTACTATGGTCGGCAGCACTCAAGACAGTAGTAATAGTTGAACTTACAGTCCCGTGGGAAGAGAACACTGGACTTGCTTTTGAAAGAAAGAAGATCAAGTACCAGGAGGTAGTCCTGAGATGCAGAGAGAGAGGGTGGAGAACTTTTCTACCCCCCATCGCGATAGGCTGCAGGGGATTTGTTGGAAGATATTTTATGACCCTGTGTAGAGATCTTGCCATCAACCAGAGCCAACTGGCAAAGGAGGTAGCAGAGGAAGTAGAGAAGTGCAGCTTTTGGCTGTGAATCAAGCGGACCGAGAAGTCCTGGGAGGGGGGCAGCCAGCCTAGCCCAGTGGAGGTAGAAGAGAGGCAGAGCAGAGACGTTCACTCAATCGTAACCCCACCAAGAGGGTGTATCAGGAAAAAGGGGATGAAACACCCTAGAACTGGTGGTCCTGACTGACGGGTGCCGGAAGGCTCTGTAACCAGCGAGGAGCTGCTAGGCAGCTGAGAGACCAACCTCACTCTGTATGCTGAAGTTAGAGCTAGATTAGAAAATTGATAAAAACCTGGATAAGATAACTCTAAATGGATATCTTACCGTAAAAGCAGAGATTGAGAAAAAATCTAACAATTTAAAACCAAAGGTGCTCATATCAGAGCACAATAACACTGGATTAAGAAGAGGGAAAAATCCCTTTCTTACTTTCCCAACCTTGAAAAATGGCAAGCTGCAAATAAAATTATTAGTAAATTGACAAATGGCGACATTGATGTAACATGTAAAAAAAAAATAAATAAATAAAACATATCAGGGGAAAATTTCACAGAAAAATATTTTAAGAACGTCTTTATAGCGGAGAGACAACTCAGTCTCTAACAGTGAGATTAATATGTTCATAGACACGGTACAGCTAGAATCCTGTCATTCTCAACATCAAAAACAGATTTTGGAGAAACAATCAGCAAAGAATGGGGTAATATTTTAAGGTATTGAAAAATCTAAAAACAAATAGACCTCCAGCTCGGTTGGGTTAAGGCGGCCTAGGCTGATATTCATGTTCGAGTTTGGACGTGTGTCTGCACAATTGCCACAAACATGTTTCGAACCCGAATCATGTTCCACCATGTTCGATATGACGTCATTCGAATAGAACGCGTGTTCGAATTCGGGGTTTCCGGCGGTCATTTGTATGTTTCCCCTGTAAACCCGCGTTGTTACGCATTTTATTCGCGGAGTATGACTTAAACGGCTTTACGCGCAGCTGAAAACAGCATAATTGATCTTTAGAGTAATCCATGTTTACGTATTATCACTTTTTTTTTCAAAATTGTCCGAGGCTATTTTGCATATAAGTCGATATTTTTTAACTGTGGCGATTTTTTAACGAAAAAGTACAGAAAAATAGCTGTTTCTGTCGTTTTTGGCCCACAAAAACAATGTAACTGTCATTTAAAACAAAATAGCCTCGGACAAAAATTATGAATAGGTGGTTGGCTTTCTACTTGTAAAATATCATGATGAAAGGTGTTGTTACCGCTTCCGCGTAAAGCCATGAAGTAAACAGCTTTTTTAAACCAAAATGTTGATTTTTAACCCAAAAATCCAGAAGTAGTAAAAACAAAATAACCTTTATTCAATGTGTTTCAAGTACTACTAGAACTGTGTGAAGTTTAGTTGTGGTGAGACCAAGCTATCAAAAGTTACAGGCATATGTATGAAATACTACTCATAGTATGCCATAGGCTGCCTTAACCCAACCGAGAGGAACAAACATAATTTTTGCTGAATCTCACTTTCTACAACAATGTTGGAAATTTTTCGATGCCTCCAAAGAATCTTCGGAAAAGGGATGTTTGTCTGCGTATCCCGGAAATTGGATATATATTAGTCTCCCTAAGGCCACACCAATTAAATTTGTTGCTTCTCGGATCGCACTATCCATTTTCTTTTAATTTGAAAAAAATGTTTCTAAATTTACTGCAAAATGCTCAATGAAAGACATATTTTGGTCCGATGGTTAAAAAAGTCCTTTTTCTTCCTAGTTCTTAAGTTTCCCAATGTAACAATGCATTTTTGTTTGATCAAAAGCTCAAAATCTATTGTTTTAATTATAAACCAGCCTGGTATGTTCACTTCATGGCTCATATTGTAACATTTCCGGTTATCATGGGGTGCCTTGGCATTTTTTGGCCTGTCGCTTCTGATCTTTTGTGACACTAAGTTGTTGGCAGATGCTTTGGCCCAAAGACTCCAAGCAGTCTCCCATCTCTCATTTCAAACGATCAAACAGCGTATCTAAAATCGAGATTTATGTCCGTGTTCTTCATTATGTTATCTTTAACCATTATGTTATCTTTAACCATTACTGCAGACAAAATTATGTTTTATATACAATTACAATAAAAAAACTGTTCTTCGAACATTTCTTAAGCCATTATCTCCCTTGTCTTTTAAAAACGCATGTGACACTGTCAACTGGAACTTCATACTTAAAACCCTTCAAAAATTTGGCTTTGATCTATATTTTATCTCTTTGGTTAGAATGTACACGATTATGAATGATATACAATTAAATAGAATGCAACATTGTTAACTTTGGCTAAAAAGGCAGCCTTCTTTCGGATGCAGCGTGACATCCGACATAAAGCTTTATGAATTGGATCCTTTTAGAACTTTAAATACAGACTATTTTGTATTACATGGCCGGAGACATTTATCAAATCGATAGGACAGCACAGTGACCACACAGAAGAGGTATGCGAGTCCTTAAACTGGAAGAAAAGAATTAAAAAAATAAATATTTCAAATGAGACAGGAGCACAACTTAACCTCATATGCAAAATGCCATGTTGTAAAAACATTTACTCTGTCTCTGGTCATTAATTAACCTTTTTGTTCCTCTGGAACAACTCCAGTTATAAAGAAGAAGGAATTAAAATAATCTTTATATATCCAAAATATGAAAGCTTACAAGCAGCATGGGTAATGACATTGATACAGACTGATTGGAATAACATACGACGATGACAAGTAATGTCTAGACGTCTTTACATTTAATTTGGAAAACATTTTAATATTTTCAGGTGTTATTTTTGATGTTAAAAATAAGTGTCCCCCTCTTGACAAAACTTTCTCCGTTTTATAGTGAAGTAGTCTTGGCCTGGCTGGAACTTGGAGGGAGAGAGGGAACCTAGCGATGACCGAAGATGATTAACCCTATCTAGCTAGACCGGGCT